GCATGTGCATGTGTGTGTGCATGTGCGTGTGCATGTGTGTGTGCATGTGCGTGTGCATGTGTGTGTGCATGTGTGTGTGTGCATGTGTGTGTGCATGTGTGTGTGCATGTGTGTGTGCATATGTGTGCGTGAGAGTGTTCATATGCATGTATGTATGTATATATATATAAAATCTCATCTGCACATAGAAATCAATACTAACAGGACTGACAGCCGGGAACTTCTCCTCGGCGATGGGGGAGCCGACCGGCGGGTATTCCTTCTTGTCCTTCCCCCTCGCCTTCTTCTGCTCTCGTTTCACTTGACACTGAGACTCTGGCACCACACCTGCAATGACAATAAATGAGTGTTGCAAAAAGCAAACCAACATACATTTTGCTTGTGAGGAGGAGGCATCCAGTATAGGCACAGAAAGCAGATAGTATTTCTTGTTAGCCTATGATACAACTTACGCAAGAGTGACATACTTGTTGGGTTTATATAGTGAAAAATATTTGAGTGCACTTTACACACGTTGAATCTTTCTTTTTTTATTCCATTCTTATATTTATCAACAAAGTTAATATTCTTCCACTGGGGAACATTTTTTGAGGGGTTAATTTAACTTCTTTTTACACGAGTTCTACAAGCACAAATTACAACCCATCGCTTTACCTACTAAAATTTTCCGATACGCTTTCTATAAACTCTATAAAACAAACCCGAATCCTTTAAACACCCTATTCCATCATATCCTCCATATACATATACATATACATACTATTCCAACATGAGCCCCCCCCCCTCCTACCCCTCACTCTCACCCCCCCATCCATCCATCCATCCATCACGTGGCAAAAAACGATCAAGCTGAACTTACATTCCGGTCGCATCCCCACGTTTAGACACTTCTTGAGGCGGCATTCTTGGCACTTCCGGCGCATGTACATGTCCATCTCGCAGTTGTGACCGTATTTACACTGGTACACTGCGTTTTTGGTGATTGACCGCCGGAAAAAGCCTGTGAAAAAGGGTCGAGAAGAAAAGGTTACGGTGTGTACATTTACTTAATCAAGAATTAATGAGATAGATAGATTGATAGATAAAGAGAGAGAGAGAGAGAGAGAGAGAGAGAGAGAGAGAGAGAGAGAGAGAGAGAGAGAGAGAGAGAGAGAATAAAATTTTTACATTCCCTACAGATCTGCTCAACAGTATATAAAAAAAATACAAATAACGTTCACAACAATTTTTTTTCTCCACAGACGAAAAACAGGCCATGAGGGATCCAGTTCTACTGACCTTTGCACCCCTCGCACGTGAGAGCATTGTAGTGGTATCCCGATGCCCTGTCCCCGCACACGAGGCAGAGCTCCTCCTGCTGGCGTGGCACGGGGCCCTTCTTCTTCTTGTAATCGCTGGACTCGGTGCCGTAGCCATTGTAGGAGGACGGCGAGGACATATCCTCTCGACCTGGGGAAAGAGTGAAGATATTAATTAAATAGATTAACGGAGGGATCCTTAAAAAAAAAAAAAACGTATCGTATTACAGTTTTTCATCATATTGCGACACGTTTTGACGAATTCCTCATTTACGAAAAAAAAAAAAAAAAAAAAAAATTGAGGGGTAACGGTACTTGAATGTCGGTAGAGAAGCAAAAACGGGGGATAGGACGATGGTCTCATAGTTCACTTTGATGACCGACCGACAAAAATATATATCAATAACAAGAACAAGAGCCACAATAATAATAATAATAATAATAATAATAATAATACGAAAATAGTAATATCAAATGCAATAACACAATGTCCAACGCGCGCTTACACCCTGTCATAAACACCGACTCGGACCTTGTGCCCTCCTTCAATAACATTCTGAAAAAGGTGTTGACGGGAGCGAGCGCATGAACTTGGCCTTCTCAGCCCGAGTCCACTTTGGGCGCAGGATTTCCCTCGGCCAAACAGCTCAGGCACGCGCGCTTCCTCTCGCCCCTCCTTCAACACGTCTCCGACCTCGTGAACACACATTAATTACGGCGGGAATTATCCTCATCATCAAAATACACACGCGACCGGGGGAATATGTCGGGAACTTGCGTCATGCACCCGACGCGGCCTCAAAGCAGATTCTCTCCCCTCCCGCCATGCTGCTCGGCTCAGCACGCACGGCGCGCATGTATGAAGCCAACGATACATCATACTCATAGCGCCTGTCATGTCTGGGATGCGTTTAATTTACGGCGCTTGGACAAAATGACAGATCAGCAAGGAACGAGGCCGCAATGCACGCGGAGTCAAGGTGAAGGTCTCACGATAATTGGGTCCATATGGCCACGCGGCTCCGTGGCGGACGGTAAACAGCTCTCGCCCCATCACGCACGCACGCTCACACACACACACTCACGTACACACACACACACACACACACACACACACACACACACACACACACACACACACACACACACAAGCACGTATATACGTACAAGTATGCAACAAACATTGGATAATTTTCAAAACA